CTGGTGATCCATAAGAAGATGAGAATGGCCATACTGGGTCAGGCCAAAGGTCCATCTAGCCCAGTATCCTATCTGCCAACAGGGGTCAGTACCAAATTCCCCAGAGGGAGGGAACACAGCTAGTTAAAGTACTGCTTAGTACTGCACTCATTATGCAGTTTGCAACTCAGAGGCTTTCATTTGGAGCAGATAGTATCAGAAATAACAGACACAGGAGTTCTGCTTTCCCACAAGTCAATGCTGATGATCAGTTGTATAATCTGACTGCTTGCCACAAACAGTGGGCATTGCATACATACCAGCAGGAAAGCTCTTAACAGAGGCAGGACTGTCTACCCCTGAGAAAAATGGACCAGAGTGGGGAGTGTCTCTGTAGGGAGAGTTCACATTGAAACAATGCGGCATCTCACATAAGCTTGGAAATAAGATGAACCAGCCCAGGAACAGCTCTTCTTTTCCTGCTCACTCTGAGGATCAGCTGTCGCATAGCACAGTGATTTCAGCTACACAAGGGCAGAAGAGCTCGTCTGAAGGAATTCCAGCCAAATAACAGACTTAGGGCATGTAAAACACCCAAGAAGGAGATGTGTGAATGCAGGACTCTATACAGATGTTGCAAGCTTCAGCCATTCCAATAAATGGTTTGTTGTATTGCATTTTCACCTAATGTAGATGGGGCCTAGTAAATAAAAAGAAATGGACTGCAATGTAAGCTTGTGACACCCCCATATTCGTCACTGCTGTGCAATTAGGATATGTTGTCTTGTGAGGTATCATTCTAAAAGTCTTGATCTGATAGGTATTTACAGCTCATTGCATTGTGTGTGAAGTTATGAGATTTGGTTATGTACGTGCTACTGAAATAGGATGTTACAGCAGCTCCTGCCCCGCACCCCCCCCTTTAATCAGTTCACTGGTTAAACAATATGTTTAACCGGTTAGCCAATTAAGCAGGCTTTTACATCCCTATTATCTAGCGTGCTAAGCTTAGTTTGTGGGTTTTGTTTATTTACTAAGATAACCTGCTTTGTTCAGTTTGCTCTCCCTTATAATCACTTAGGGTATGTCTACACTACCCCGCTAGTTCGAACTAGCGGGGTAATGTAGGCATACCGCACTTGCAAATGAAGCCCGGGATTTGAATTTCCCGGGCTTCATTTGCATAAACCAGGCGCCGTCATTTTTAAATCCCGGCTAATCCGAACCCCGTGCCACGCGGCTACACGTGGCACGGAGTAGCTAGTTCGGATTAGGCTTCCTAATCTGAACTAGCTGTACTCTTCGTGGAATGAGGAGTACAGCTAGTTCGGATTAGGAAGCCTAATCCAAACTAGCTACTCCGTGCCGCGTGTAGCCGTGCGGCACGGGGTTCGAACTA